AGTGTCGAGATCGAAATAAAGGGATTGGCTGCAGATAGCCTACCATCGATTGGGGGGAGGCTGAAGCGCCGCTAATTAGTGCAGTACTGCTGCTGACCCCAACTGGAGCGTACTTGAAGCGCTGAGAAGGTACTCGAGTTGAGCCTACTTGAAATGGGGCCACGTTTGAACCGTCTCGTACGCACCCGTGCTGAGATCGGAGGTTTTATGGGATCCCATTAGGTCGGTTCGGAACTAGGTCAGACCACACGGCGACACTTTTCCGACTTTACGACCACTAAAAGCTCACACTGATGATGGTTGCGCTCCTCTCCGGAATCTCCGTGAGTTCCGTGATGTGAAACAGATGACGAAAAAGCACTAAACATATACCCCTTTAGATAGAGAGAGAGAGAGTTGGGGGAGCACCTCGCGGGAGAGCTTATATATCTTAATGGTTATGCTTATGGGCTTTCGTGTGCCCACGACTTCGGGCAAACCCCATTCCCCCACCCGCTCTTATCCCCTGCAAGGGACTACAACAAGAACAGACCATCTCCATATCTCCGACGGTAGTGGAGTTACATTGCACCGCTGCTGCTCTCTCGGTGTGTAACAAGCAGAGTGACGGAACGAAAGGAAAGCATCCGCGGAACGATTATGATCATCACACGATCACAGTCCACCGTAATGGGACTCCGAAAAGCCTAAACAGTCTGGAAAATCACAGCCACGGCCGCCGCCACCGTGATTGAACTTGCTTCTTCAGCTTCTCGGTGGTAATTATTTTTTATGGATAGGTCAGTTACAATTCTGTGGGAAAACTGGCGAAAAAATTCATCTCTGCTGAACTGAAAGAGAGCCTGCGATAATTGTTGCCGCGGGTTTTCTCTTTTTCCGAAATGAAGGCCCTTTTTGCGGTTCATCATCCTGGCCGCTTCTAATGGCAAGCAAATTTGTGACAATTATCGATGCGGCAATTTCTCTAGACTGTGGTGTCTGACTGCGGCGGAGATTGCGTTGCGCAAAATGGTCCAGCAGTGGTTGGTTGCAGCTTGGGAAATCGGCCCCCGGGCGATGACAGAGGCTTCTTCGGTTGACGCAATTTCCAGCTGGAATGGAGTTCGACTTGTGTTGTAGTCAGCGGGTCATCGGAACAATTATCGAACTCGGGTGGGTGGGTGAATGGGAATTGGATCAGCCGATGGGTAATTGTTCTTGTTGCTTGCGAAATTAGGGCAAGCGGATGAAGTCAAGATCGTCAACGAGATTTGGGTTTCAATCGTGCATCAAATTAAAGTCATGATCAAAAGTTTTCTTCTTCTTCTTCCATTTGATATTGGTTTTCTTCATTATTTTTGCGACTCAAAAACATACTAAAAAAATCGTATAGTTTTAGATTAAAGCGCAGTGCGAGTGACGATTTCATTTTGAGTACCTAGAGCTGACTCTTTGTATGCCCCTTCAATGTTTTACAATTTTTGAAAGGGGGTTGGGGGTTAATTATTAATTCGTTAATTTTTAGCCACGTTGTAGTACATTTATATAAAGGCACTGACATCAGTGGGTTTTGCCGTAATAAAATGGACGATACTAGTTAGATTAAATAATGTACATTAGAGATATTTGAAACATTATATGGAAAACGACTAAAAAGTGCACTTCTCAATTGCGAGACGTTTTCATTGTTTTTCATTCAATACTTATAATACCTACCTATACCCTAAGATTGGGTCTATCGCTAAAAATCTGCTATTTATCAATTTTATCTAGATGAACGCGACATTACATCCATTTCCCCTACTTCCGTTATGGCTGTGAGTCTTGTTATGTGGTCGGTTGTGGCATTTGGGAATACCATTTACCATGACAGGGTGCGTTATGATGGAGTTGGGTGGCCGTGATGGAAATACTGACCCTAAACAAAATATACTTTAAATAGGAAACTAATCTCGGAATGAAGCATTTTATCACAGAAAAATTTATTATTATTATAATTAATTTATGACACTTTACGACCGAAAAGTGTTACTCAAGACGGACAAAGACAAGATAAATTTTGCGGATCAATGTAGAAAAACCCGAATTTATCCACCTATGGTGTGATCAGACCCTTCTTACTTATTCAAGTTTATTTATTTTATTGTCATTATCAGTGACCAAGCCCCCCATCCCGTGTCATCCAGTGACGCTACGCCACTGCCTGGGGGTAACCGGAATATATCCGGGTGTAGTCTATTTGTTGAGGCTACACGGAAACAAATCCGATTCCATTTTCATGAATAAAAAATCATGAAATGAAAAAACTTGCCATCCCATGAAATTGTAACAATGATTCATGATTTCAGGATGGAAATTCATGATTTCATAATGCAGAGGAATCAAAACCGCTGAAAACGTTACACATACTTGGCAAACCGTGTTCATAAACCACACTACATAGATATCTCTTATACGCCTTTTGCCTTCCATCTTATACAAGTACTGATAGTCTAGAGGTCAAAGTAAGGGTTTAGTGATCTCAAGGTTCTTGGTTCGAATCCAGTCTGATGCTTTGTTTTATTCTTTTTACATTTTTTGGTTAACAGTTTTTGGCTTTAGAATTAAGCTCATGATTTCAACTCGGATGATTCTATGGCTGTGAACCAGAGCTCAAAAGTTACACATGTCTTCATTTTTCTCATAATTTCTCGGTCGCAAGTTTATCATTTCAAATTAAATTTAAGTCCAATTTGAAATGTAATTGAAATTCAAATTCGTTTCATGCACTATTTTGGTCTTCCTCAAAAAATAATCCACGATTTGTTTTTCCATTTAGTTTGAAAGTTGGTATGGAAAATCAATAATATTTCCATCTACTGAATTCCCTAATCGCAATTGTTAATGTAAAAATCACCCTGACAGCAGTTTGAATTTCTCAATCAGCACGATTTGGTACCAGACCACCCCAAGACGGACGAACCGTGGGCAATGCCATATCCTGTACCGTTCACAAATTAGCTACTACATCTCATTGTTGGGCCACCCCGCACGATTTGACCGACCGAACCGCCGCCGACGAGGAATTGGTCAATGGCAAGCGTATGAAGTGTCTGCAATCTGCTTCAGCTCCCGAGCGATATGATACTTTATGCCACCACTTTCAAGTCCGGGCAGAAGTGGGTCCCAACAAATACGACGGAGAGCCACCCACCGACAACCGTCTTCATCGTCGTCTTCGTTACAATTGGATAGCAGCTGTTGCCGAGCAACGAACGACCAGTAGCACTTCTGCTGGACGGACAAACCACTCATCGATGCCACTTTTCAAACCGCTCAAATGCCTGATTCCAACCAGTGCCTAAAAGGCCATTATTTATTTATTAGCATGCATTCATTTTTTTTTGCTCCTTACCCTCCTTGCCCACCGATCGTCTTGGGTTCGATTCAATTCATCGGGTCTCTATCACTATTTCGAATATTGGCATTTCAAAGGACAGCGGATCACCCCGGAACGATCTGGCCTGCCTGGGCTCGCATATTTACTTCAAATAATGAGACAAATCAATTTTCATTAAAACGGATTTTTCCTCCTCCCAACTAGTGGTGAGTGACCACGAACTGGCAGTGGCGGGTACTGCGAGAGAGTGCGAGGGTGGAAAACCCCGGCAAGATTGAATGGCACTGATTACCTACCGAGAAGTTGCGAGAGTCGTTCTGCTGTACGTTCAAACGGAGAACGGAAGGAGCAGTGCGGGGAAGGGGGTGGACCCCACCGATGGAAAACTCGAAACGGGGTCAGCGTGTCAAATCGATTGATCTTTTGCTGGCTGCTGGCGACTGACTTGCGGTACATACTGCACTGCCGTTGATCCGCAGCACACGGAGAGGCTCGCAGTTCAAGTAGGTAGCTGGTGGTAGCTGATGTTTGGAGAACTGGGCGGAACGTGATTGCGATTATGGAACGGGGGTCGGTCGTAGTCGAACGATACGTCATCGTCGTAGACGTCGAGGTATCGAGTGTCAAATGGGGGTCTTTTCAGTGGCCCCAAGATCAACACCATGGCGTGGCTACCGGGGTTTGTTTGGCTGGCGCCATCGCGTTGCATTTTGGATCAGAGTAATAGCGATGGGGTTTGGATGATTTTGGGGTTACGCAGATGTGGTTATTTACAAAATGAATGAGATTTGTACAATTGATCAATTGCATGTTTCAGTAGATTAAAATTATAAATACTAAAGATGATTTATCTAATAGGGTCATCCGAACATATGTTTAAATTCTTTGAATTCTCCCAAATAAGCATATCTATAGTCATATAGGTCTGATCTCACCCATTGCATTGTTTCGAAAATCTTATCTACTATCGATCATCCTGAACCAAACTCTTTCATAAACGGACATTCTTCCTTCCATTGATTTCCTCCAAAAAAAAAAAGCACCCCCCTATTCATTCATATCTTTATCAACCACGGAAGATCTGCATTTAGCACTTCAGATCACAATTGTCACGAAATTCCATCGATTGGTGTAAATTGAAGAGATAAATTTACAGGCAGACAAACCGCTCGCTAACCCGTCCGGAAAGCAGGGTCAATATTTGCCTACGAGCGCACACTAAATTTGGTAAACATTCGCGAGCGTACAATCAACTCGCGACGATCTCTGAGTCAGTCACAGTCAGTGGTGCAAAATTGATCACCCGTACCGAATGAATGGAATGGTAAATATGGACGATTCGACGACGCGGCGGAAACACAAATATATGAGGTGTAATTGAACAATATAATAACAATCGACCGAGGGGTTGCTGCTTATCGCCCGGCTGGGATCATGGTCCTCCTGAAGTGCAAACAATAAATATTGGTATTAATAATAATGGCGGGGTTCAATTGGGCGAACCTTACCGGTGGTCATATATGGCGATGCTCACTCGGTGAAAGGATTTCGGAGGGCAATTGTTCTGCTCGCGATGCAAGATTTACGATGATCCTGAACGCACAACCTTGGCTCTAAAATTGGTCTCCTTTCTATTTTCCAGGTTGCGCCAGGACAGTGAACTGCTGCTGTCCCGATCGTCCCATAACTGGTCCCAGCAAGACCTGCAACAGCTATCGTCCTCCAGCAATAGCATCGGGGACAACAACAGTTCGGAGAGTACTTCCTCGACGGAGACCCTCAAGTGGCTCGGATCGATGAGCGATGTATCGGAGGCAAGCCACGCCACCAGTATGTCCGCGCTTTCCAGTGCCGGTAAGTGTCCCGATACCTATCTAACTTTTACTTTCCGTCTTGCGGTGGTGATCATCGTGAGAACACTCTGAGCGAGGTGTGCTAATTGACTGCGTGCGCGAAGTGACGACGACGTTCCAGCCCACGCACGACCAGGGTCAAATTAGTCCAATCAGTTTCGCAATTGGGTGGACAGTTCATTACGTTCCTGCTCGGTCCGTGTCTCTCTCTCTCTCTCACCTGATGGGGGAGACCACACACATTCGGTCCGGGTTGAGCCGAGCTGGGCGAGCGACCGAAGTGGAACGACGACGACGACGATGATGTTTACCACCGTGGTAATCTCAATTGATTCAAGTTCGCAGACAGCGGCTTAGCAAGGGACTGAACATAGTTTATGCATTTCTTGAACAAGCAAAGAACTGTGATATTTTTTTAATTATGTATTTTCGGGGAATCTACCACATTCGCTAAAATAGGGTAAAATTACCTATTATGGACTGCCCAATAGCTTATTGAGCAAATGATGCTGAATTTCTGGTTTAAGAGTTATAGTATTCTAGTTGAGGGCTGTTTGACGTCTTGAAGGCTTTTTGGCATGTTGAGGGGATAATAATTTACTACGTAGAAAGTTTTAGAGAGTTTACATCGCACCCTCATATATTTCTGCGTTAACAGATGTCTTCTTTTGAACTTTTTCTTCTTCTTTGATTTGCTTTCCGTTGATCTTGTTCTCCGTACTGAGTACCAATGCTACCGACGCCAGGGTGGCAGCTCCCACACCTGGACCCTACCTATCGACCCATCAACTCATGAACCGGGGACAAAATGCTTTACTTCCCTGTGATTAGAGATTTTATGCCTCAGAAGATCCCGGCGGCGCCGACTGGGATTGAACCCAGGACTTTTGGGGTGAGAGGCAATCTTTTGTCTTTTGGTGCTTAAATGATTTTGAAGCGTTTTTAGGTTTATTTTTTCATTATTAAAGCTGAAGTGAACCGGGAAAACCAGGAAATAACTGGGAGTTTTCAAAGTAAGCGGAGAATCCCGCTTAAATTTGACGAAAGCACCGGGAAAAATCAATACTCTTTATTTGTATGATCGGTTAAATTATGTTTTGTATTTTAGCTTATAAAAAAGTTTGTAAAAATAGATTTTTTGAATCGATATGACTCTTAGCCATGAAGATTTAAATTTTATCAATTTATGCGTAACTTTTCCTAATTCTTTTATATCAACCTATTTAAATTCAAAACGCTTTTTTTTTGCTTAATAACCTTGGAATCATGTTCAAAATAATCATGGGATTCTCCTTAAACTCACAAGAAAAGACTTTTGGAATTCTTTGCGTAACGTGAAATTCTGTTTCGAATTCCCTTGACATTTTATAGAATTCCTTTAGAATTATTCTGAGAATGCTATTCCTTAGAAAATCATCTCGATTTTTTTATTAAACTTCTCCTCAGTAGACTAAACTAAAATACACTAGAAACTGCTCATAAGAAATCCTCCTGAGTGATGTTCTTATTTCATCCGCGTTTCTAGTATTGTATCTATGAAAATCACTTCCCCTTTCAATTCTATCACACAAGTATCGAGGCAGCAAACCGTTAACTACTTTAAAAATGAACACCATAGTCAAATATACAATTCTTTGCTTCACCGAAAACCATTTTAAAGCGTCTAGCATCAAAGTTGAGGAAGTGAGTCTATTACGTCTCAAAATCAAACGCATTATTTTATTCTACCAGCGCTGTTATTTTGATGTTTGTGTTTCATTGGCCAGAAATAGAAGGGCAAAATACTAAATGAGAAGAGATGATTGATTTGAATAGCTGTATTTTACTGGCAATAGTTAAATCGTTTTTCAGTCGACATAGAATTCCATACTTCTTGGCAATTTTCTTGATGGCATTGTCAATGTGAGAGTTGAACTTAAGTTTGTCATCAAATGTTTGTCATTTAATCTCCCGAACGCGACCAATAGTCTCATCATCAATGACAACCGAGACGTTCTCATTTAATCGATTCCGCGAAATTACCATAAATTTAGTTTTACTTGTATTCAATTTTAACTACTTATACTTCAACCATCTACTTAGAAAAGGCAAATCTTCATTCAAGTGTAAAACGGCATCATCTAAATCTTTAGTTGAAAAAATATCACAATGAATAAAAAGATTAATGTCTCAAAATCGTAAAACACGTCGCAAGTCATTAATATACATAATAAATAACATGAGCCCTAATACACATCCCTGGCCACTCCAAGGTTATTCCCCACGGGACTGAAAACAGAATCATTAAAAACAGTCCGTTGATTTCTGTCAGACAAATAGCTTTGAAACCATTTATATGCAGTACTCGTAATTCCAAAGCGCTTGATTGATCTTAACAATAAGGGCTTAGAAATTGTTTCAAAAGTGCGTTTCAGATCCAAAAATCAGCAACAATCGTATCTTTACACTCCTAGTTATTTTTCCACTTCGCTAATACCAAATTCAACGTGGTTTCACAAGAATGACCTTCCCGATATCCCGATTGTTCTGGTATCAACAAACTATTACTATTTAAATGCTCCAACAGATGGCCTTTAACAACAAGTTATAAAATGTTCTCTAATGTGTGCAACATGTTGATGGGACGAAACTCTTCGGCTTTAATCGTTCCAGCAACTTTTTGAATAGGAAGCACTAAGGATTCCTTCCAAATGTGTGGCACATGTCCAGTTTGCAATGATTCATTAATAAGGTCCAGCAAGATGTGGCCAATGACATGAAAGCAAGCTTGAATAACTCTAGCATTAACACAACTACTATATATTTGAATTGTTGGAACTCTCAAAATTCTTCCAAGTTGCAGGTTTTGAACACATTCAAGGACAAAATTAGTGATTTTTTTTTTAATTTGGGATCTTGTAAAGATTCCAAAAGTCCACATTTTGAGTATTATTATCAATCTGACGTAATCCATATTTGACATAAATCATGGAACGTTAACAAACAGATCATGTTAAATTAAGTGTTCCGAAACCTAAACATCAGCAAATCCACGAAAATTGCGTTTGGTTGAATTGAATTTCTCGTTTTTTTTTTTTTTACTTTAAATGATCTTTATTTTTTGTGTTTGTGTGGTTTACATGTTTGAATTTTTCAAGTGACACAGATGCGTCTTTTCAACCTTAGTACATTTGAGATTTTAATTATTATTTACAGTTCCTAGTCCTATCAGACCTATTTTAAAGTACACTCGGATGTCTCGGAGAATGTGTGCAGCTGGATGGTAGCGTTTGGAAGCAACGCGTAGCGTGGTACCCGGAACTCGGAAAGCTTCGGTAGTTGTTCGGCATACTTCTCCCATTTCTTAGCGACCGATTCTGGAACCTCGTCGTCCCAGCCAGACGATTGCAGCCACAGGAATTGCATCAGCATTTTGTCACGGATTAAGACTGGAGAAACTATTCCTAGGGGGTCGAATAGCTGCGATATCCCAGATAAAATGCTCCTTTTGGTAGGTGGTCCTTGGGTCGGTCGAAGTATGGTCTCAAAACGGAACACGTCGAGTTCAGGCTCCCAGCTGATTCCCAATGCCTTGATTGTTTCGTCCTTGTCGAATTTCAGAGAGGACTGAGCTCCGATTTGGTCAACAGCTAGTCCTTGCAGCACTTCCAGACTGTTCGACGTCCATTTCCTCAAGCAGAATCCACCCTTCGCCATTAACTCTCCTAATTTGGTCCTCAACTGGATAGCCTATTGAACCGACTGGGCACCTCCAATGAAATCGTCTACGTAGAATCCCTTCCTGAGTGCTGGTCCTCCCAGCGGATAGGCATCACCTTCGTCGTCGGCTAACTGCAGCAGCGTGCGCGTAGCGAGGAATGCAGACGGAGCCATGCCATACGTAACTGTCAGGAGACGGTAAGTTTGCACTGGACCGAATTTGCTGAATCGAAACAGTATTTCTAGGAGTGGTTTATCGTCTTCGTGAATCAATACCTGGCGGTACATCTTCTCGACGTCACCCACAACCGCTACTGGGAAGGTTCGAAACCGAAGGCTGATATTAAGAATATCGTCCTGTACTACAGGCCCTACAAGTAATGCTTCATTCAGTGAGTGCCCCGTAGAAGTCTTGGCGGAAGCATCAAGGACGACACGTACCTTCGTCGTCGTGCTGGCCTCTTTTAGCACTGGGTGGTGGGGCAGGAAGCATTCCTTCGACTTGCTTGCTTCTTTCTCGGGAACCAAACGCATATGCCCTAACTCTAAGTATTCTCGCATAAATTTACAGTACTCTTCTTTCAGGTGGGCATCTCGGTCAAGCCTGCGTTCAAGAAGTTCGAATCGTCGTAGAGCGGTGGCCTTCGATTCTCCAACTAGCTCGTCTACGTATCGTCCTTTGCTGTTTCTGGTAACCGTGGATGTGTAAAATTCCTCACATTTCTTCTCCTCTAGTGAATAGGCAGATCGAGCTGGCAGCTCTTCGATTTCCCAAACTCGTTCCAGGCTTTCTTCGAGGGACATTAGTGAAACGGTCGTAACGGAGCAGGTGGACGCATCGTGCGCATTTGTGGCAGCGTGGGCGGTACCAGAGACGATCCAACCGAATACACTATCGACAAGCAACGGAAGTGAATCGGACAGTTGGATTCTAGCGGCAGTCTTGAAGCAAGAGAAGAAATGCTCATTGCCGATTATCAAATCAATCCCGGAGCTCTTGTGGAAGTTTGGATCGGCGTAGAACAGGTCCTGGGGTAGATTCCAGTCTTCAATGGAGACGTCACGAGACGGAAGGTTCGGGATGATCTTGTTCAGAACCAAGAAGTCGACATCTAGGATGAATTCTCCTTTCCGGGAACGAACTTGCGTACGGACAGAGTTGCGAGTGTGTTGCGGTTTCTCTCCTACTCCATGGATCAGAACATTCACCTTGTTTCGCTTTAGCCGCAGAATATGAGCCAAATTTTCGGAGATGGGTTGGGTTGGGAAGCGCAATCCAAAAGAGCTCTGGCAAAATTCTCT